GCTCTGCGTTGCCATCTGCAGATTATTCAATTAAAAACAAATACTTACTCTCCCTTAGCAACGGCAGCCACACCAGACATATGTGCATTAACCAGTATGTCATGTGAACCTTTGCATTTATATCTGGAGCAAGGAATGTTTCCAGTGTCATTTTTTTTCTTGTGTTTTCATACATTTTATTGGACCAAGGTAAGAGATTCTAGAAGGGACGCAGGTAAAACTATTTTTGCGATAAAGCACCATGGTCATGAAAATCTACCTTTCCCAGAACTCCTGAACAACAAAATTCATTCCAATTCACTATATAACATCAGCCCTGTCTACCGTCTCCTCACCCCCCGCATCAGACGCGGGCCATCAGCATCACCAGCAGTCTTGGGAGGAAGTTTCTGCTATGCCTTTTTGTGTGTTTGTCCCCAGTGCACATTTTCCTCCCCTGAATTGGTACTGTTCAACGGTGAGAGAGCACACCAAGGCAGCATCCTAGGTATCCGTTCTACCTGGCAACGCTACAGACTGTGCGTTGCAACAGAACTTGGAGGTTTTTTCATTGCTGACATTATCATTTTTGCTAGAAAGCACGATTCAAGTAATCGACACGGTGTTCACACCAAGCCACAGAATCCTAATAAATGCTGCCTCCCTCCAGAGATAGGTGGGGTCCCAAAGCACAAGAGCAGCATTAGCTGTTCCCCCCACTGCTTTTTATGTACAGAAGAAAATTTTGAGGTGGGAGGAGACAACACAGAAATAATTTTTTTTTTAAATTTATTACAGGAAAGAACACAACCAGATGGGATTCCAGTCTGCTTCTGACCAAAGTTAAAAGAGGTATTGGACCGCTATTTAATGCGGTGTTAATTATTCTCTTCCGTTATTTTACAGATATGAAATTACAACTAGACATCTATAGTACCAGCTTTAAGTTTAGCAGGTCCTAGAGGAATCCACTAGATGAGTAACATTAATCAATTTTATCACTGCAACTGCTCACTTCCGGACATACAGAAATACAGCATTGTTAGTCTGTTCCTCATGCAAGATTTACTTTAAAAATACCAACACAATGCCTACTCACATTCTTCTATAGCAACTGCAACAGTGATATGCGGCTTGCTCCTATTAATTGCAGTGTTAAGTGTACTTGCTGCTGTTCCTCCCTCGACCAAAACACACAGCGTACACAACACGCATTCTACAGCCACTTAATACAAGCTTAGCAGCTGCAAGCTTTGAATGCTGAGGTCTGGATCGTAATTTTTCCTGACAAAGGCATCCAAGTTTACAGTTGTGCTGCTACTTGGCCTCGCAATCCACTCACCTGGCCTGTCGCGCACTTCTATCCTGGACCACATCGGCTGGCTCAGAGCCTCAGAACAAGGCAAAGCCTTCCTGCTCACACCAAGCTCAAGTACATCACAAGAGGAAAACCTCTAGAGGTGAGAATCAGTACATCACGTGCAGAGCTCTCACTGGCACCTCTGCCTTGCCTGAGGCTCCACCGCCGCAGAGAAAAGGCAAGGACGCCTTCTTTTGCGTCTTTCTGCATCCATCTCTGCTTCACCCTTGGGTGCAGTCCTCCGGCTGCTCTTCAGACAGAACCTTCTCTAAAAGGGTCAAGTTTTGTAACTCCGTAGAGAAGACACTAATAATTGTTTACCTCTTCATTCTCGTCACGTTGAAGAGCACGCACTTCACCAAACCCGAGAGTTTCAGTAATGTGAAACACTGCTATTGTTGGAGTAGCGCCCATGTGTACCTCCCCAACGCATCATTTCTAGCATGCACGGCATAAATCGCAGTAATGGCATTGCAGTACCAGGGAGAGACTACGGAGCACAACCAGCACACACTCATGGGATGTTTACACCCAGTCTAAAAAAAAGCCCACAAAAATACCCTTTTGAAAACAGAGGCCTACTATTATACCAAATACCTACAAGCCTTTGTTAACCAAAGCACTTCACCTTCAGTCTCGATCCAAATCGGCCACAACACACCCGTAACAACTAGTAAGATCCTCTACTCAACTTCAGCATCACTCCCCTGAAAAGGCTGCAAGCTAATAGAGAAAGGCACAACTGCCGGCCAGAGACCACGCGTATCGCTGCCGTAACGTCACTGCAACCTCCTGCCCGCGTCACACGACACATAACCCGTGTTAGAAACATGTAAAGCCAAGCCACTTTGATCCCCCAAATTAGGATTCTTTTCAGTTATTCCATTTGTGTACACTCAAGCATTTTTATAAACTGAGAAAGTTAGGTTTGTGCTTAACATACGGACTTCACACCTGCCTTACATGGATTAACAAGATGTGTACGATTGTGACAAAGGGAGAGCCTTCGTATTTCCAACCGGAACTGAAGCATCATTCCACAAATCTTGCCCAAGCTGCCAACGTAGGCTAGCCCAAGAAAGATTATTTCACAGCTAGCAGAGGCGATTATGAGAGACAGAAACATAAAATGCACCAAGGGTGAAAAAAGAAAACCAAACACTTCAAAAATTAAAATAAATCGCATCACTCTTATTTCCTTTCCTCAGAGACCTTGTGGGGAAGGGACAATTGCTTTTACAGCAGGAGAGTAGACGGTGGTCAATTAAGACTGCAGCAAGCGCTTCTTCACTGATGGTTCTGAGGGGTGCTTTCTCTTCAGTGTAGACGACTCGATTAAGTGGAGGTGTCAAACTCAAATGCTAATGATAATGGTGTCTGAGAAGTTTTCAGCTGTTGTTTTGCAGTGGAAAACCAAACCAAAAGCAGAAGCATTTTTAAAATAGCCTAAAAACAGCTGAGAAATAAAAGGTATTTAGATGGTAACGTGATAAACAGTCTCCAGTGCTGGGTCCAGGACTACGTCCCAGTGTTGACAGCTACAGGCAGGTGTGAGACTGGTGATTTTCAATAGATAAAAACACACTTTTAAACAACCTTGCATCTCAAATGACTGTCAACTTTTGTCCCAGACTTGACTGGGTCACAAGGCCTCCTTACATAGCAGTGTCTGTCAGCACCGGATTTCAGAAGATTATTCAGAGCACATTCCTCGACAGAAAGCATTTTTCAACCAACGTAGCCATTTCCAGTTACTAAGGATTAGCTCCAATATACACAGAAACACACGCCTTTTTCCCCTGCTGCTGTAGTTCGAAAGAAGTTCCTTAATGCTTCAGCACCTAACGTGGAACTGGAGAAGGTACAATACATGTCATTTATAAGTGTGGCTCTTAAAAGAAACACTCAAGAACAATGCTGCCGATCTTCAAACTACTGATCACAAAACAGGAAAGTCACGAGGAAGTGGAGGATCCATTTGCTTTCTCTGTATCTTTCACCTGCAGCTCCTGTTTAAGCTCTACACGTGCCTATGAATTGGGGTGGAACGACAGCACTATAGGAGGAGAGATACCTGGTGCAACACCTTCCACAGGACAAACTGATCATGTGGAATCCTCTAGCAATCAGCTTGCTGTGTTAGACACTGCAGGCACGCAGAACCGCCTCACAAAACGGGGTGGATGTCAGGAGGAATCATCTGCTACAAAATAAGTAATAAACGATAGCTATGGGACAAGCTGCTTCCCAGCACACTCTGTGAATCAATATAATTAACGTGGTAGTCCAACTTTTTCAGGTTCCAGCTTTGCGTAGCAGGCTTTCAAAAGGTGTTTTTCCAAGTAATTTAGACTTGATCTTGATTAATCAAATGAGAAAAAGGTACCTTCGTTTTTCTCCCCCCTCAAAAAAAGCTGCTTTTCCTAACAGAAATGTGCTCCAGCTTGCTATAAACAACAAGGTGATGATGAACCAAGTTGCAACTGTTCTGACTACTTCTCACACGGAGCTGTAAGATATAAGCAGACAGTTAAAGAAAAAGAAGCCTTCCAAGTTTGGAAGTACCTTTGAATATATCCAGCTGCCCAGTAAAACTAGTTTTTGCCTGGCAAAACCTAGCAAGTCCGTATCTCACCTTGCAGTTTGCCAGTCTGGACAGCAGCACTGACAGTCCCCAGCAGAAGGAAATCCTTCGATCCAGCAGAGTGAGAGTTTAAGGAACAAGCCTACACCTTTTCTACACCTCAACAGGACTTCCATCCTAGATGCTGATGGAACGACCCCTCCACACATAACACTGAAGCTAACATACAGCACAAAGGTGCTTTCAAAATTTTGGGGTGAGTAACTAGGTACTACACACGCTTTTGTAATTAAGCACACTAAATTCCTCTGCATCTGCCACTAATCCATTATTGTGAAGAATGATCCACTCAAGTGAAAGGACAGTCTCTATATACTTCCTCCGGTGAGACTCTACCATTTAATTGCCTTGTATATCACGCTGTTTATTGCAGTGACTGTGTAAAGATTTAGATGGGTACCCGCGCCGTTCAATATTACTGTACGCTGTGTAGTGTAACAATTCTGGGAGCCAAAACCCCGCACGTTATTACAGACTCATCTCCAATAAAATGATCGCATTTGCAGAGTTATGCTAATATGAAGTGCATATAGAGCATTGGTGCCCATCTCAAAAGACTGAACAGACTCCAAATGGATTTTGGAAACACGTGTCAGAATTCTGATGCGCTCATCTCGAGTGAGGAACTGCACACCAGTCACGTCAGAACACCCATAACATTATTCACTATAATGCTGACCACAAAAAGAACTTGACTGCAAGTTAGCCGATGAGTAACTGTTCTGAGGCACTAGCAAGCATGGATAGCTAGAAATAAATTAGCACAACCATATCCTTTAAAAAATTTCTAGGAATAAAACAGTTATTTGTGAGCTTGCAGTGAAGCTCACATGCTGACCCGATGAATTACGAGTAATTAGTTGGTGCTGTCCGAAAGCGTCGGGCTACCAAACCAAGCTGCACTGGTTGACAGGGAACCCCTAAGCCCTCCAAGCAATCGCTGAATTTGATAACGTACATAATACACCAATATTAAAGTATCCTGACAGTTTCTGTCTTGAGCACTACTCACGCCTGTCCCACCAGACTATGGATTTAGCATAGAGAGAGTAAACACAACTCAGACATCGGCATAACCCAGGCAGCTGTCTGACAAAAGCTAATTTAGCAGCCTGTTTACAGCTGGAAAGAAAACTTATCCCAACACAGATGCCAACTTGGCAAAGGCTTAATGAAATCCTCTAAGGTCAAACCAAGTTCTGTTGGGAGGCAATAAATACTTGCTAGTCCACCCCCACACGCACGTGCCATGAGATACTCACTTGCAGCACATAGCACCAGCCTTCAGTTTGGGTTACTCAGACCACACCACTTCTGCCTGAGTAGCAGGCATGTCTTTACCAACTTCAGGCTGAAACTCTGGACTCTTTTTTTTTTTTTTTTTTTTTTCATTTTAATCGCCATCAGGGTGATTCATTCCTGGGAAAACTAAGGCCCAAATTCATCACTCCTCGTAAGCCACTACCTAAAGGGGTGGGGGAATGGAAAGAGACTGCTTTATAGCCAGAAAATCTCTACCCCAGCCAGCACTAAAAATCCTTGCCAGGCCTAAACAATCCTTGCTGGAGAATTCTGCCACGTGTGCATCGGGAACCACACCGTAACTGTATGCAGGTTTCTCTAGGTTCCCTTGAGAGCATCAGCATTTGCACTAACTCCAGTCAGCACACACAGACAGCAAATCCCCCATCTATATTCCATTTACATTGGGAGTTAAATGAAAAAAGGAAAAATCTTACAGTGTAACACTTTAATTCAGTGCTAGCAAGAGTTATGATGCAATTACCTGCAATCTAAAATCCATCTCCAGTTTTGAAAGCGTAAATGTAGCAAAGAGAGAAGTGTCTTGCATGTAGTTAGCTATTTTCTGACCAAACAACATGAATCATCAGCTCTGATCCAAAGGCTATAAAGGTGGAGAGCCAGACTTCCACATGCCTTCCAACAAGCCCAGTGCCCAGCATCCACAAGCTGATTTGGAGTCTGCCTCAGTGTGGAGTCCAGAATATGGCTCTCAATAAGTAATTTCAATTTTGCAAGTGGTTTATCAACAGCAGTCTGACACTTATGTGTCAAATCAAACAATTACGAAAGTATTTCCAGGATCTGGATCTAAATCTCATCTCATAGGTGAATAAACCTAAGACCACATTTGTTAATTCCATAGCCACTCTTAAATGTTTGCAGTCGTTTGGTTTTTTGCTAGAAACCCTGAGCCCTTCGTGAGCTACAACACATTTGTTTTCTAAAATTGCTTCAGTGAATGCCAGTTATCCCTACACTTTTCTCAAACACATAATTTTACCTTCAAAGCTAAGCATCCATTTTCTATCTTATCAGAAGCAAGAGGATAAGACGTTAACAGAATAACAAACATCTAAACTGGAATTAACCTAGACCACATATGTGAATACAGGAGAACTATATCTGCATTCGTTACCACCACTACAGCTTTAAGAGCTTTAGGTTATTTTAAGAGGCAAAGGGCAGACAGCAACATCTGACACCGTCCAGAGTAATCATGACTTCACACTTACATGGAACTCGGTTGTATTGAGAATGTGACGACCATCCGGACTCCAGCATGAAGCCACCAATCCCGCTGACCCCTCGTCTATCTTACAGTGCCAGTCTGGCTGCTCCAAGGACCAGACCTAGGACAGAGAGGAAACCAGACAGTGCACCAAACAAACAGCTCTCCAAAAGCCCTGCTTGCGAGAACACGCTACAGCTGAGAAAAGGCTCCTGCATCGCATACCAGAGAGGTCAGGAAACCCCTGAAAGCCCGTGGCTATGAAGGACTGGCGCTGGATCCCACTACAAAAGTAAGCCCCTCACCTCTGTGTTTTAATACAAATTGTAAAGTAAGGTGTTTGGTTTTTTTTCCCTGTGATAAATATTCTGAAAATCCAACACTTAAAAAAAAGTTTTAGTCCATTTAAGAAGTCTGCATGTATTTATTTCCTTCTGAACTAAGAAACTGTAAGGTCATCTCCAGCTTTGATTTGTTTTGATAAATAATTTTATTCTAAATTTGGTTGTTTTTTTTTTTCAAACTGAGATGCTCGTCACAGTTTTACAAATAATAGCATGCTGGGTTATCCTCAAACCATGCATTATCAGTAACAATGCCGGCCACTTTAGCAAAAGCACTGAGCTAGTGCTTGCCGTTAGGAAGTGCTCGCTGGCACCACACATGACACCCCCGTGGGAAACAGACTCTGTCCTGCTTTGGTCCTTACCTGAACAATCCCTCGCTTGTACATGGCACACAGTATGAAGAGGGAGTCAGAGGACCATTCGATATACTGGATCTGATCCAGGCAGGTGTACAGCTGGAGGATGCGGAGGGTGTTCACATCCCGAACCACCAAGCGGTACTGCACGCACGAAGCCTGAGCAAGGACAAAACCAAAGCTGAGCTGGCGCACCAAGACAGGGCTGGAGAACCCCGGCGGCCACCGCGCCCTGACAGACCGCTGCCTCGGCACGCTTCGGGCGCAAGGAGGATTTTTAATTTCGGAAAGGCTTGACGTGCGCTGTGCTCTACAGCAAGCTGCGGTAAAACGATCTAAACCAGGAGGGAAGGGGGGTCTGTTGATAGGAAGAATCCTCACCCACGCGAGCGCTGCCGGTTAACTAGTCCGGCTTAAAAAAGCGTTCTTCGCCTCCCAGCCGCTGGTTTATTTAGCTGACCCTAGCCGGGGCTCCCTCACGACGCCCCGTGCTGACTAAAAGCATGACGGCAAGCCAGCAGCCCCGCAGGCGGGACCACCCGCA